AACAACACTTCGTTGAGGGTGAGTCACCTTCTTCTTCGCAAGCTGCATCTCATAAACTGAGCAAAACAGCACTCAGCGTGCAGCCAATCATCTTTGGCGCCATGACAGATATGCTGAGTCGGGTGAAAGAGTTGGGCGCGTCAGCTGGTGAATCTCAATGTTGAATAGCGTTAACACGTCAGCAACAAAACCCTCGCACAAAAACCGGAGCCTAGCCACAAAGAAATCACTGAATACAACTGCTTCCTAAGCCCGTTCGCAGTGAACTCCTCAAGAAGCAAGGCTCGTCTAGAATATTCCTTTAGCATCTTTGTCTGTAACACGCGAACGCCCAAAGTGAAATGTTGTACCGATAACTTACTTAGCCCGTGTTTAGTCGGGGGAATTTTGGAATTTGGCTACTGTAATACTTTCGTTTTTATTTGACAATTAGTGCTTAATCATTGACTAATTAGGCTCAAAACGTTCGTCTCGCGATTTTCAACCAAACTGTGCAATTAGTTTTTTTTCGTCTACATTTAATGCTCCGTGCACGTATCGCAAGATTCAATGTGATGGCTACTGTAGCACTTTTTGGGAAGTTCTTACTATACAGATCTGGACATGGCAGACCCTTTAGAGGCGTGCCGGTCGTGGTAGATCGCTAGAGCTGTCTGCACTGTCTGAAGAAGACGAGCCCTGTTTTTGAAGAGCAGGTTTCACTACACTCCTCCATTCCGCCGTTTGAGTTCTAGAGTGCAAACTGGTTTCGCCAGACGAACTACCGCCAGATGAAGACTATACTCTAGAAGTTATCTATAGACGCGGCGAAATCACAGACGCAAAAATAGCAAAATAACAAGCAAAATTAAAACCAGCGAAACAAAAAGAACACACGAACTCACCTCCAAAGCGAAGCCACCAAGAGCTAAATGCGAGATGTGAAGTGCGGAGGCAAGAAGGAGAAGCAACGAGGGCGAAGTTGCGGTGAGGCAGAGAAAACCAACCGCGCACGCAAATGAAGCAGGGTGATTTCTATAAAAAAAAACCCTACAAACACACAAAAAAGCCATATATATACAAGGACCGAAATGCAAAGCAACGCGTCCAGCGGCCCCAACTGACACGCAGAACGAGGCAGCATGCGCAAACATTACGCTCGACCGCCGCTCAAGAAATAAGGTGATGCTTGGCGTGGGAAACGAAACATTTCGGCAGTTAGACAGTTACTCAAAAAATTCAAAGTAATAAAGTCTTCATTGAAAAAACTAATAATTAAATTAAAAAATATTATTAAGTAAGTAAGAACACAGAAGCATCAAGAAACTAGTGCTAACCGAAAAACTCTGCGTCCCCCAGCTCGTGGGAGACGACGTCGGGGCAAGCAGCAGAGGGAAACAAGCAGAGCGACGTGAGGTGACGACCATGGCCCTTTGGTGAGCAAAAAGGGCATCGCCTGAGGGGCTAATGTTGGGGGCAAGTTTTACTCCTGCTAGCCCCCCCCCCCCCCCACCCACACACACACCACCACCACCACACACACACGCACACGCACACGCGCGCCCTGCCATCCCTTTGTTTGGCTTTACGACTATTCGATCAATGGCGGGATCGCTTGCTCCAGTGACGTGCTAGGGCTGACCTATGGTCTTCGGAAGAGCACGAAAGCACGAGCACTTTCCACTGTTTTATGTCCTGTTTGTTTGGCTGATAAGTCATGGCTGAAAGTATCGTTGACTGATTTGTTGTGAGAGAAAAATATTGTTCGTTGGCTGAAAAAGTATGGCTTATAAGCCAAGTGAACAGGGCGTTAGTAGTTCTCGTCATATATAGGCACGCCATTGTCCGCCGCTCAACGTACTCACGCGCCTTTTTGCTATGATCAACCAGGTTTCATGTCATCTGCAGGTGGCCACCATGTCTCATCTTAGCTACAACGAAGACGTGGCAAGGATAGGCGCCCTGTTTGTTTGGGTTTGTTTGGCTTATAAGCCATGGCTGAAAGTACTATTGGCTGGTTTGGTGTGAGAGAAAAATAATGTTCGCTGGCTGATAAACCATGACTTATAAGCCAAATATGACCAAGCGAACAGGCTGAGGAACGCTTTCGTCCTCAGGCGAAGAGGAGAGGAAAGCGAGGGAACCAGCCCAAGAAACAAAGGGGCCAGCTGTAAAGGGCGATGACGACCTAGTCCGGGTGGTTCCCCGCGCTAGGAAGCAGTCAGGCGTTTTCTGAGGGCGATGCCATCTGTCCAACTGTACTGTCTCCGAATCTAGGGAATCTGCTTATGATCTAGAGTAGGTGAGTGGGCAGTTTGGTCTCATGTAAAATCTACGAATGTGAATACACAGAGCCCTGGGGTTATTGAAAGCGGGGGGTAGCATATCAATAAAAAAGCATCCCTTGTCCCACTTTCACTATCGTTGTTTCGCCTCCTATTTGACCTACTTCGTGCCCTCTCTCATTCAACCAACCCACGGTGTTCGAAGCCTAAGGCCTAGAACAACAGTTTTCATATTCACGGAGTTAGTTAGAGGAAGAAAGATAAAAATTCAGGGCGTTGGCTTTTCACAAATGTGCTTCCGTGAGCCCTTGGAGAATAAGACGCTAACATGGAGCACGACCTGTGGTTACGGAATTGCTCCTATTTGGATGTTCTGACCCAAATAAAATATCAAACACCTACAACAGCCTCATGTTCCTCTCCCTACCACCCAACTATTCATTCTTATCCACTCGTCCAAGGCTCAGCCTCACATTTCCTATCTTATCTTCTACTTCCGGTCTTTACTATCTGCACCTAGAACACCTCTCTCGCTTCACATCTTCCTCATTCTCCTCTCACACTCACACCAAGCCAAGCAGATGACACAACGAGCTCGGCCATGCTTGCCATCTCAAGATACGATTCCTCATGGTGAAACCTGGAGGTGAGCGTTTGTGACACAGGGGCGGTGGCAGCGCCGATGCCCGTGAGCTCCAGCCCACAGGCCAAGATCCGTGGCCCTCTGACTTTGAGACTATGTAGCCGGCCCCTCTCCCCCTCACCCTCTTGGATGGATCTCTGTTGCTAGGTTGGAGGAGCATGAGGCTCTGACGCGTTTGTGGGCAAGGAGAAAGAGGCAGAGCAGTAGTGCGCTGGTGAGCTAAGGGCGTTGGGCGTGTGGCCAGGGCTGGAGCTCCTCGCCAAGATCTATTTTAGCGGATCCTTCATTCTTGTGATGTTGCAACATATGATTGTTCATGTGGCATTGATCTTTTTGGAGCTATTGCATTGACTCATTCGGGATGTTGCACAGCATAATAAGCAGATTTTGATAAGTTTCTATTCTAAATGCATTTTTGGATGTTGCGGCAATTGTACCTATATATGTCCCAACAATAAGTTGGCCTTGTTGCAATGACTTTTCTCTGCCTGTTGCTGATTTGTTTGCTCAAGATCGAGATGGAGATAGACATGTGTTTTTCTATACTGTAGTTGCATGTTTTTCTATGTTGCAACAAGCGACCTAGTTTCTTTGAAACATTCTCTATCGTGTTGCTGCAAGTTCTCTAGTTGTTTCATAGGATGATTCAAGATGTTGCAACAACTGTGTTTTAATGTTGCAGCAGGTTTTCTCTAGTTGTTTCGTAAGATGATTCAAGATGTTGCAACAACTTGTTTTAATGTTTCAGACATATCTCTCTTTTCTCTTCTCAACCATGTTTGGGTGGTGTAGCATGAGGTTGTAGGTTGATGCGCGGTTGTGCTCCACCAAACGTGGTTCCACCATGGCTGAGCGAGGCGATGGTATGGGACATGATGGGAAAGAAGGCCAGGTGCGCGGCGTGGTAAGCGCGCGAGCGGAGATAATTTTTTAATCAACTAGATACATGCCCGTGCGTTGCACCGATAACACAAAATTTTGCTCATGTCTACGATGACAGATTTAATCATTTTTACAAAATAATAAAAAGTTAATAAATGATTTTTGCATTCCGAATTCGAAACTATTTTCAAATTCATTCAGTGGGGCGATGACACCTCGATGTAGTACTTGGTTCCCTTGTGTAGAAATTCTTTGCAGCTGAGGTTGCGCAGCTGGGAGACGTACGACGAATTGGTGGCCTGCCGTAGTGCCTTTCTGAGCTCCGAGCACTACACTTCAACGCTCACCATCTTGGTGACCAGCTCCTCAGCAACGACCTCACCTCGGCAGCTTCGTGCGGTGCGGCGTCTAGCCCAGTGCGCGTTGGCTTCTTGATCGAGCTCTTTCTTGACGGACTTGAGAGGCAGCGCCCCCTACTAACGGCAATGTTCCGCAGCTTGGCTTTCTTCCTGGGCTTGGGGAAGAGCCACCATAGGATCTGCGACGCCATCGATAGAGCGGGGCAACAGACGCAAATATACATGGAAGTATATATTTTTTGGAGCTTTTTTTTCATTTGGATGATTTTTCCGGAGAGTTTTCAGGCCAGAGTCCAATGCACTGTTTTGCGCGACTGATTCCGTTCTACCGGTGGGCGATTCTCCCGGAGCTTTTTTTAGAGTAGAGCATATATAATATAATATTCCCGGTGGAGATCAACATTATTGTATCAGACGGAGAGGAGTTTGGACGCAGGCCTCAAAATCGATGGGCCTTGTAGACTACTATACTACTAAAATTCTTAATTGGTAATAATAACAGCCTGGCCGCCGAGGCACACCGGGTCTGATCGGTCTTCCGTGCCGTGAATCACGCGAAGGGATTGGACGAAAGTCGTCCATATTTTTTAGTGTACTCCGTAGAAGATAGAAGATTGAGGTGTGTCAGGCCCATTTGCTTCGTCGAAAAAACAAGCTAAAATACTGTTTCAGCTGATTTATTGTAGAAAAAAAACACTGTTTTGATTAAAAAAATAAGCTCAAAAGTATGAATTATAAGACTAACGAATAGGGGCTGAGTATGACGTCCGATATTTATTTGCGTCCGGACATCCCAACGCTAATAATTCCGTTAGTGGAAACAATGACAAACTTGTACGTACTGTAGGTATACTAAACCAATTGGTCAGCAGGCCTAGTTTTGTTTCTGGGCTTGCGCTTGCCATCGTCTTCAGCATCGTCGTGGACCTCCTCCACGCGTTGGTACTGTCGGTCTTTGCAGAGCACAAGCATGTAGAAGCCGATGACCACGACGAACGACGTCATGCACCATACGACGGTCACCAGTAGCGCGGCCGGCATGGCCAGCGACACCCGGTACGCCAACACGCAGCTCATGGCGGTGGACAGAGCCCAGACGGCGACCTGCAGGCGCCACCGCTCCCCGTGGGGCGACTCCGGCGTGAGCCGCTCGGCGCGGTGGAGGCACACGAAGATCGCGGCGAGGAGCGCGCTGGGCCCGGCGACAAAGGCCAGCTCCCACGGGTCGCCGCGCGCCCGCCACGCCGACCGAAGGATGCTACTGGCCATGAGCGCGATCACGCCGACGCGGAGCAGGCACACGAGAGCCAGCAGCGCGTGCTTGGCCGGCGACTGCTTCTCGGCTGCTGCCTCTGCCAACTGCACGTAGGGATCGGCGGCGGGGTTGGGAACATTGGCGATGCTGCTGCTCGTCTTATTATCCATGTATTTATTCTTGTGGGTGACTGAGAGCTGCGTGGCCTGAGGACTGTCTCCACGAAGAACTGGTATGCAGTGTCTCTCGTATATGCAACCGAGCTAGTGAAGCAACCTCTATTAATAGGCATCCCCGGCCCCGGCATCCGCCCATCCGGCATGAAACACAGACACAGTTTACGCGTAGCTTTGGTTTACACTTTACAGAAACTACGTTAAAACTATGAGAGCGCGTTTCTGTTGAACAACTGATTGAATCGATCGAGAAGGCAAAGCTTCTTGATCTCTGGGAGATCAGTTTCCCTTTTGACGACTTTGACTAGGACTCGTCAGGCTTGCTATTGCGTAAAGTAGTCTAGTGGACCATATTTTGGCAGCGGAATTTACCCAGGCACTTCGCTGTCTCGCTGGCCTGGTTATCCTGCCAACCTCGCTGTACGTGTGGCTTCTTTGTTCAAGGAAAGGGAAACCGTGTTCCTCGGACGACTCAGCCGTTAGGTCGTCATTGGGACCTTCGTGATCGTGACCACACCGGTTTCTCACAAAGGAAATGTGCGCAAAATTCATCAGTTCCAATGGGCTCAAACCCAACAAACTCGTTTATTTTAATAAAAAAATCTTTTTAACACGGTGAGCCATTGTTGCCTCTGACATCAGGAATGATTCTAGCATGGGTACCACAAAATTGACTTACGAGATATCCCCTGTTTAATCCGTCTCTATAAATAGTCAGGCGGCCCTCAAGCAAACATCCACCTGTATTAATAGTTTACATAAGCGGACGTTCTAAGCAGGGAAGGATCCAAAGGGAGCTGCTGGGGTTACGGCCCCTCCTAGTGAAAATGATTTTTTCATTAGATCACGATTATTTAGTCTTAAATCACTATTAATCTCTAGCCCTAGTCCTAAATTTTCATTATTTAGCTCTCCTTTTGTTCCCATCCTGCATCAGCCACTCAAGTACAAAAAAGATGGGATTTCTAGGAGTGTTGCTGCCTATAACAATAATCAACTAGGTGATTTCCTCGTGAGATGCTGCAGGAATTTAAGAGTGATTTCAAATTTCAAATGAATTGTGTACGAAGACAAGGCTTTTAAAAGCTTGCATGCTTGTATTGTGTTGTGTGTGAACAAAAGGTACGTAGGTTGGATCATAGCAATTTCAACAATTGAGTTGGGGCGTATTGCAAACAAATATTATACAATTGATGCCAATATGAACCCATCTGGCTATCCAATAAACATGAAATAAGGCATACTTACAACATACATAGGAAAAAAACAGATGAAACATTGAGAGCAATAGCTTACAACATACTTGTACAATTATTGCAACATGTGCAACATCCCGATCTACTTTTGCAACATTTGTATGAGACACTTACAACATACCTCTAAAATATTTGAAACACTGGAAACAGATGCTTGTAACATGCAATTTCAGCGCAAATATCTCCTTTCTACTTGGAAAATGGAGGCTCGTCAGCACGTGGAGTTCGCTGGAGGTAGCGGCCCGGCGATGCTTGTAGACAGCGGCTCGGTGGTGGCTGCACCACAGGGCAGGGAGGCAGCAGCTGCGCGCTGGTGTAGGGAGGCAGCGGCCTCGCACCGTGCCTGACAGGGCCGGTAGCCGAGCCACAGTCAAACTATTAGGCTGTTGGACTATTATATAAAAAATAATGATTCTATGCTTAAAAAATATTGGACTCCTAGTGAGCCTGATTTCTTCGTTAGACCACGGTTACTTAGCCTCGAATCGCTATTAATCTCTACCCCTACCCCTAAATCTTCGTTATTTAGCCTCCTTTCGTTCCCATCCTGCATCAGCCACTGGTTCTAAGTAGACTATCTCAAGTACAAAAAAGATGGGCTTTCTAGGAGTGCTGCTGCCTATAGCAATAATCAACTATGTGATTTCCTCGCGAGATGCTGCAGGAATTTAAGAGTGATTTCCAATGAATTGTGTACGAAGACAAGGCTTTTAAAAGCTTGCATGCTTGTATTGTGTTGTGTGTGAACAAAAGGTACGTAGGTTGGATCATAGCAATTTCAACAATGGAATTGGGGCGTATTGCAAACAAATATTATACAATTGATGCCAATATGAACCCATCTGGCTATCCAATAAACACGAAATAAGGCATGTAATGAAGTTATCCAAATTCACATACTTCAATAGCTTGTCAATGATTTTCTATGCATCTTACAATCGTGGATACGATTCTAGAGTAGTACTTTTACAAAATTATGGTGGATACTATATTTTTAGTCGTGGATAAGATTCTAGAATTTTTCTTTTTTTTCTCAAATACACAAGAGAATTGTGTATCATTTTCATTCTTGGACTTTTACAAAATTGTCGTTTCCAAAGAGGTGGGATGGCTGGATATTTGGGTTTTATTGGCTGCCGACATTTTACGTGGGGAAGAAGAAAAGTGTAGATTCACAAATCACAAGTGACAGTGTAGTGCTGATGCTGATCTTTTCCTTTTTTTTTTACGCCTGATGCTGATGATGTTGATCTGAGACTGAGTGTCTGAGAGCGAGTCTGCTCGCTGGTCTCGCTGGGTTGAGCTTGAGCCGTCTCGGATCCTCGTCAGCTGGTCAGTGTGTGGTTTGTTCGCGCACGCGTGGTGCTCGGACGACTGGACCTGAGGTGCGGTTGGTGACTTGGTGTGGCTAATCATAACATATTAATTAATTAGCAAATTGGTATTTTTATCAGTACTGAATTACTGATTCAAACACGGGATCATGCGCCTGCAAAGTGGTTGCTCGCGCGGCGACAACGCTGAGTCACCGCCACGGCCACGCGCCTGCAAACACGGCATGATGAGGAATCAGACGATCCAACAAAATGACAAGAACGCTCATCTCGATTAACAGCCACAGCGAGCAGTGGAGTATACCAACGAAATCGAAACAACACAGTTGGAGACTACAGTGGAAGTGAGGAAAGATTTTTTTTTAATCGAGATCACAACAATGGGTTACATGTTCTTGGGGCAAAGCATAATAATGCCAGTCCAAACCGGAACTGTCGAATCACATCTCAAGGAGTAATCCGGTTGGAGAGCAAGCAATGCGGCGGCGGAGGGAGGTGGAACAAGCAAGGATCACACGCTAAAAAACCCAGATCCCCTTGCTCTTCCGTTCTCGGGAGTAGCTAATGACAAACTATATGTACACACAGAGGCAGGCGCTGCTGCGGCGGCGGCCACCGGCGAGCTTGCTGCGCGCGCATCACCCGCTAGGCGGAGCGCGCGAGGCGGGACGCGATGGCGGAGCGGTACATGGCGTCGTGGAACCAGAAACTAGAGGAGACTTTGGACTTCAAAGGTTTTAGACTCAGTAAAATTAAAACTGAGTATATAAGATGTGACTTCGGCACTACTACTCAGAAGAAGAAAGATATTAGTTTGAAAGGTCAAGTAGTGCCTAAGAAGGATACATTTCGATATTTCGGATCAATGGTACAGAGAGACGGGGTTATTGATGAAGATATTAGCCATAAAATCAAAGCAGGGTGGATGAAGTGGCGGCAAGCATCTGGTGTCCTATGTGACAAAAGGGTACCACAGAAGCTAAAAGGCAAGTTTTATAGGACGATGATTAGACCTGCTATGTTGTATGGTGCAGAATGTTGGCCTACGAAAAGACGACATGTTCAACAGATAAGTGTCGCGGAAATGCATATGTTGCGTTGGATTTGCGGTCATACAAGGATCGAGTTCAGAATGATGATATACATGATAGATTAGGGGTAGCACCAATTGAAGAAAAGCTTGTCGAACACCGGTTGGGATGGTATGGACATGTCTAATGGAGACCTCCAGAGGCACCGGTGCGTAGTGGAATCCTAAACTAGGATAGTAACGTGAAGAGAGGCAGAGGAAGACCGAAGTTGACTTGGATAGAGGCAATAAAAGGAGACTTGAAATGATGAAATATACCCAAAGACTTAGCCTTAGATAGGTGATTGCTTCTGCTGGGTTTCAACTCTAGCCTACCCAACTTGTGATTGTGATTGTGCATGAATACACATCTTCCTGTCTGCTAATGATAGGATGTATCTTTCAGTTGACCTGTCATGCCTGATGACTAGGCAAAGCATTTTTCATATTGGACCCATCTCCTGCAACTTCCACGTTGTCTCTGTTTGGTTTGTCCATATGCTCAAAATTACAGATGTACCTGCTTCATGAAGATAATTCTTGTTATTTTAGCTGTTTGTTTAAAGACCTTGATATTTTAGTTGTGAAAGCTATGTGAGGGTAACCACAAAGGATAGGTCCTGGACATTCTTGTACTATGTAGTTCCTATCTGAAAAGGGCATCCATATTTTCATGCTGCTCTTGTTGTGCAAACTGGTTTCCAAATCTTTGTCTATCACTGCCGGTGCTTGATTTTCTGTGATCTTCAATGAGCCTGCCGTGCCAGATGGCGACGCGAGCATTCCCTATTAAACGTGTTCTTGCAACTTCCACGGTTTTCTGCAAATGGTTTTTGTGCACATGCACAAAGTTACAGGCGTGCTTTCTTCATGTGGATAACACTTATCATTTGGTAGTGAAGGTCTATGCTAGTGTAATTTGCAAAGAGAGACCAGGACGTACTAATGTGGTTTATCCTTGCCCTTTTCAGATCGGAACTGTATGACGTGGAGAGCAAATGATGGGCAGCAAATTTTGATTCCATCGGGATTCCAGATTGGATGAGAGCTGACTTGGCTATTCAGATTTAACTAGTGTGCTATGTACCTATATTTTCTTTGGTTCGTGCTATCGGCTGGGCTGGCTGGCCAGCCCTCTCATGGCACTGTTCATATGAACAGTGTCTTTAAGACATAATAGTATTTTTCTCTCATACTAAATCAACCAGCAGTAATAATCCACGAAGTTTGGCAAAAGGATGGAATGTTTGAGCAGAGAATAATTTCAGACTGCGAGAAATATGTCCAGCGATGGTATTCCATTTACAGGCTCCCGTTAGATACTGGCTTCCTAAGAAGTCAAATATTCTTAATTTTGACCAAATACATACATAGAAGTATTGATGTTTGTGATGCGTAATAAATATCATTAGATTAATTATGAAATATATTTTATAATAAACATAATTGGAGATGTAAATGTAGATAATATGTTTTATAAACTTAGTCAAATTTAAGATTCTTGGATTTCTTGTAAAGCGAGATTTGCATTCTTTTGGGACGGAGGAAGTATATATTTTTAATAGTAGATGAGAATGGGGCTTGGGGGACCATTTGGAACGAGGAGTCGTACATAAATTTCACAGGAAAACACAAGAAAGAGGAAAGTAACCTAAATTCCAAAAGTGCCATGAACTGTTGTTGCTTTAAGGTGGGGACTGGGGCATCTAAAAAATTTTATAACCAAAAGGAAAAAATTGAGAGTGGAACTCACCGGCGTCCTATTCGCTTGGCTTATAATCCGTACTTTTTCGGTCACCGAACAGTATTTTTCTCTCACAACAAATCAGTCAACAGTATTTTCAGTCATGGTTTATCAGCCAAGCGAACAGGGCATAGGTAACGAGTGGCTGACTATCAGCTTCCTGGTGGCTTCTTGAGTGAGTTCTATCATCTATGAACCGGACAAACGGAGTGATTATACGTGCCCATTTCTTAAGGCGTCGATGTCAATGTAGAGCGTAATACGAAACAAAAGAAGATTGTAAATTTTGCCTCCCTGGGCATGATGCAACTGTGCATTTGTTCTAATGGTGGCATACCACCGTCATTGAGCTGTAGCTGGCATGGCGAGGTTTGTCCATTGTACAGCTGATCCAGTACCGATGGTTATACCTCCAGCCGTGAAAACCTGGTTTGGACTTGGTTATTGACGAATGACGAAGTCAATAGTTGCCGTACGGTCTTTTCACAGCTTCTCTCATTGCTGGTACGGATTGAACAAGGCCCCGTTCGTTTCGCCGAAAAATCAAACCGAAACACTGTTTTCGGCTGATTTGTTGTGAGAGAAAAACACTGTTCTGGTTGAAAAAACAAGCTGAAAAGTACGGATTAGAAGAGAAGCGAAGAGGGTCATTATGTGCTGGTTAATAATATAGTAGTTCATTTGTTAGCAAATACTTGTCTCCCTCTCAGGAATAAGCAACTGATAATGATATATAGTAGTCCGTTTCTTAGCAAATACTCATAAATATAACAAGTTAATCGTCGTACGGGAAAGATTCCATGGGCTTTAAGCGCTGTCACGTTGGGGCACCGCCGCTCGGGGGCTAAAATAATCTGCTGTGCCTGCACGGGCCGGCCACTTGCTCCCATTTTCCTCAGCAGCTTTTGCGTTGCGCGCTTCGGCCGGCAAGTAGAAGTAGACCTTAAAAATAGTTATTCTGATGCTGCATTGGATCTGGTTTTGGTTAGCGTGTTGGCTTAACGTAAAGAGAGGTCGGTGTCAGCAACTAATATAGGGCCTGTTTGACTCGCGGTGGGACGGCGGAGAATCTGATTTTAATCTTTACGTGGATACGAATGTGGCCGGCGGTAGGTCAGCGTGCCTAAACCAATCATGAAACGAAATCAGGCAACCAAATCCCAACATCATCAAGCAAGATCAACCATTTCGCCCACGGAAATGGAATCCCGTACGCCATAGAATGTAGTAGTACGCCACATGACATGATCTGGCAGGGGAGGGAAACATTAATTTAGCAACAACAATGTCTTAATAGATCCAATTTCATCATCAGTAGCAGTACAATGGGTAACGCTTCGCGGATCTGCGCCATTCCAGCGCAGACCGGAAACGGTTTCAGGACGGCGGGCTCCGGATCAGAACAGCAGGCACGTCCGGGAGCGGCGACAGGGGAGGGGGAGGGGGCGCCTCGTAAAACCGGCAGATCCCTCATCCTCTTGCTCCACGACGACGACGACAATGGGAGCGAGGGGAACAAAGACAACCCCGGCCCCAATCGGAAGGAAACGAAAGGCGAAACCAGTATATACACACGGAGCTCTAGATCTACGGCCATGTCGGCGACTTGCTTCCGCCTGCCGCGTCGTGCGGCCGGCGTACGGTTCAGGCGGAGCGGGCGAGGCGGGAGGCGATGGCCGAGTGGTACATGGCGTCGTGGAAGGACTCGGTCTGCGCCATCCGCGCCCGCAGCTGGCGGGCCTTCTCCTCCGTCAGGCCCCCCACGAACTGCCTGCGTGCCGCGCTGCCCGCGTCGTCGTCCTGCGCCACCGCTACCGCCGGGACCGGGGCCGGGGCCTCGAGGTAGTCGGCCTTCCCCGACCACCCCAGCAGCGGCGCCCACCACCTGCCGCCCTCCGCCGCTCCAGCAGCGGCGCGCCGCGGACGGGCAGAGGAAGGGGGCCCCGCCGCCGCCGGGCGGGCGGGGAAGGAGACGGAGACGGAGGCGGGTGCGCACGGTGCCGTCGCCATTCCGATCGATCGGTTGCTTCTCCGCGAGGCTTCGGTGGGTTGCTTTGCTGGGTTTGGGGGCTGGCTGGGTGTTGCAATGCTGATTGCTGATGGAGGCCCAGGGTCGCCCTGGCATTTATAGCAGACGGAACGGAGCGGATAAGACCACCGCGTGGACACGTGGTCCGCATCGTGTTAACGCGGTGCGTAACGGTTGCTTATTTCTGGTGGGGGCCGTCAAGTCACTGATGCGTGGGTCCAGGCTGTGGGGCTGCGGCCTTCGTGCGGTGCTCCCCCCTGCCTCTCCTGCCGTGACGCGGTGATGCCGTTGGGGGCTGTTAATGCTACGGAGCACGCGTGAAATTAGGTCTTCTAGATAGATCGATGCTCTCAACACACACACACACAAAAAGAGGGTCATCTAGAAGGGAGGCCTTCCTAGCTGAAATATTTGTTTTTTTTTTTTATTCAGAAACGTTAGTTCTGGTCCTGGCGGCCAGTGTTGTTGGTACGCCCCGACCGAACGAAGGCAGATGTTGAAGATGAGAATAGAAAGTAAGTACTAAAAAACAAGTAATAATAAGAACTGGTTAATTCCTAGTACTAATAAAGAATAAATTTGATCCAAACTTTTACGCCGTTGTACAACGTCACGTGGTATTCTGGCTAGATATTTTGGATTGGGTGGTGCCGTGGAGCTTGTAGAGCGGTAGAACGATCATGTTGAGTGGGCGAGTGTGAGAAAATGTTGTGTGATGTGTATTCAACCGACGGTTGTCGATAGTATCTTTATTTTTTTTTGTTAGTCTGGACTCCTATTGTATAAGTTGTAGTATATGTACTCTACATAACACACTCACACCAACACCATTTTATATACACCTCAAACGTCCTTCCGGAGATCACCGAAACCACACGACCTCAGAGCCTCGTATTAGGATTCAAACTTGTCCAAAACTTTATGAGAAATACAATAATTAGACTAGCGGCGGAGATCGTTGCCACCAAGGCTTCTGACGTTGCTGGCATATCTTTATTATTTATTACAAACTTTTTTATGATTTAAGATTCAAACTTTAAAAATTTGATCAATAATTAGGCTAATAATTTTTAACCAATGATTATATGATTAGATTTGTAAGAAATTATACTATCCAATTATTATAATTTTATAAGCATAAATAATATAATATAAATGAATGGTCAAAGTGTAATCTAGGAGACCGTATCATTTTAACTTGTGCCGAATAAAATGGACCGGAGGAAGTAGTTGCCATCGCAAAAAAAAATCTTAGCTTATTGTTTTTTATATAGTTTTACTATTTGGATTGTCTGTGTATTGTTTGCTTTTTCTTTATTTTTTAGTACTAGCAAATTTGTTTGTGGGTTGCAACGGGAGCATCAAATGTTAACATAAAACAACGACATAAATGATACATATCTATTTTTGTCTTATCTTTTTTTATTTATAAAATTTCAAATCTATAATTTATTTTACGATGATCAAGATCCATAATATAAGTTTATCTTGGCAACAATATGATAATGTTCTATTAAGCCCGTGTGAAATTAAAATTCAACCTTCATGACTTTTTTCTCTGCCATTGCAAAGCACAAAATTTATTTAAACATAATATATATGCGTCGCCGCCGTGGGCACGACGGCGAGCTCCACCGCCGCCGCCACCGCGAGCACAATTCATCCCGGGCGGCGAGTTAGTGCAGCCCCTCTTCACGCTGTGGTCGACAGGTGGGGTCGGATGATACGTGGAGCCCGCTTACAACAACTTTTCCAAGAAACCACGGTTGTTAAACAAAACGGCTTTGAGCTTTCTCACAGTCTCATAGCTCATAACTCACAACAACTTTTCTACAACCCACAGCTGACAACTACTTTTTCAGAAGCCACATTTCAACCAACCAGGCCCTATATAAATAAATTGATGGTGAAATTTTTATATTTCTTAGGAAAAAAATCAATGGCTCGAGGATCCACAGGAAATTAAAAAAACACCGGCCCAAAAGAAAAGGGTGGAAAAAACCAAGCTAAAAAACATAATCATAAAAATCAAGCAGGACAACAATACACCAAAATATTATCGCTATGGAAAATTATTATGAGCTACGGAAAAAAAGGAGTCCAACAAAACAGAAACAATTGAAAAAAAAACAGAGAAAAAAAGATCGCACGTGCACATGGTGGGGGACAAGGAAGACGGAGGGGTGTGGAAATGAGAAACGTGGACACATAGGATATCTGATGGAAAAAAAAGAACGGTAACAACACCGATACGGAGCGGGAAAAAATACATAAGCGGATTAGATGTTGTGAAATCAAAAAAAATTTAGGACGACCAGTAATTTTGCCTCTTTATTATTAGACATAGATATAGAATCGGCAACTCTTTCATTTAGACCTTTTTTATATACTTTTTGCATAAAAAACTTCTGAGGTTCTTTTTCATTATTTATAAATAATTGGCAGCTCTTTCGTTTAGACTTTTTTTATATACTTTTTGCATACTAAAAAGTTCTGAGGTAGACCCTAATATTCACGCTAACCGCGAGAACAACCTTTGCCCGTGATGGAAGGGTCACAAGCCCTCTTTATTCTAAAAGTTGTTTGGATAACGATGGGGCACAAAGAATTCACACAAAGTTAATAAAAGTTACTATATCAATTCTAAATTATAAAACATTTTTTATTTTCTAGATACATAAATTCTTCTATATATTATATACATATAATGTCTAGATATGTGTCGGGAAAGACAAACGTTTTATAAATATGAATAGAGGGAGTATTGTTTAAAATTGGAACAAGCACACGTCAATGTTTAAGATTTTGACACGATTTCTAGACGGCTAAGAGGAGTCGTGGATACGATCTTAGTCGAGAGGGGAAATAGATTACTTCTAAATTATGTAACCTCAAATAAGAATGATGTAGAGAACAAAGCCGATGTTTTAGGACTTCCACAAAATTGTCGTGGATACGATTCTAGAGTAGTACTTTCACAAAATTATCGTGGATACTATTAGCCTGTTCGTTTCGGCTGAATTGGCTTATAAGCTATATTTTTAGTCGTGGATACGATTCTAGTATTTTTCTTTTTTATGCCGGATATCTGACGAATAAGCTTCAAAAACGATAGATCATATATTTTTAGTCGTGGATACGATTCTAGTATTTTTCTTTTATTTTCTCGAACACACGAGAGAATTGCGTATCATTCAAAATTGTCATTTCCAAAGAGGTGGCATGGCTGGATATTTGGGTTTTATTGGCTGCCGATATTTTACGTGGGGAAGAAGAAAAGTGTAGATTCACAAATCACAAGTGACAGTGTAGTGTTGATGCTGATCTTTTCCTCTCTCTTTTTTTTACGCCTGATGCTGATGATGTTGATCTGAGACTGAGTGTCTGAGAGCGAGTCTGCTCGCTGGTCTCCCTGGTTGAGCTTGAGCCGTCTCGGATCCTCGTCAGCTGGTCAGTGTGTGGTTTGTTCGCGCACGCGTGGTGCTCGGACGACTGGACCTGAGGTGCGGTTGGTGAGTTGGTGTGGCTAATCATAACATATTAATTAATTAACAAATTGGTATTTTTATCAGTACTGAATTACTCATTCAAACACGGGATCATGCGCCTGCAAAGTGGTTGCTCGCGCGGCGACAACGCTGAGTCACCGCCACGGCCACGCCCCGGCAAGGTCACGGGCCACCGACCGCGTCCGTTGCCCACTTGCACTGCACCCATGCACCTCTGACTCCGGCTCAGAGACGGCCGTGGGTATCCAAGATGGAAGTGGAACGAACCAGAGTCTCGCCATGGTGCCTCTGCTTCAGCCTGGCATGGCATGATGAGGAATCAGACGATCCAACAAAATGACAAGAACGCTTATCTCGATTAACAGCCACAGCGAGCGTGGAGTATACCAACGAAATCGAAACAACACAGTTGGAGACTACAGTGGAAGTGAGGAGAGATTTTTTTTTTAAATCGAGATCACAACAATGGGTTACATGTTCTTGGGGCAAAGCATAATAATGCCAGTCCAAACCGGAACTGTCGAATCACATCTCAAGGAGTAATCCGGTTGGAGAGCAAGCAATGCGGCGGCGGAGGGAGGTGGAACAAACAAGGATCACACGCTAAAAAACCCAGATCCCCTTGCTCTTCCGTTCTCGGGAGTAGCTAATGACAAACTATATGTACACACAGAGGCAGGCGCTGCGGCGGCGGCGGCCACCGGCGAGCTTGCTGCGCGCGCATCACCCGCTAGGCGGAGCGCGCGAGGCGGGACGCGATGGCGGAGTGGTACATGGCGTCGTGGAACGACTCCGTCTGCGCCATCCGCGCCCGCAGCTCCCGGGCCTTCTCCTCCGTCATCACCCCACGAACTGCCTCCGCGCCGCCTCGTCCTGCGCGGCAGGTACCGGCGCTGGCGCCTCCAGGTAGTCGGCCTTTCCCGACCACCCCAGCAGCGGCGCCCACCACTTGCCGCTGCTGCCGCCCTTCACCGCCCCCGCCGCGGAGGCGCGGGGCCGAGCCGAGGACGCCGCCGCCGGGCGGGCCGGGAATGAGACGGCGCTGCATGCTGATGCTGCGGACGGTGCCATCGCCATTGGACTCGATCTGCTCTTGGTCGCCTCTCTCTGCCTCGCGGGGTTGTTGCTTTGGTTGAATTGCGTTGCGATTTGCCTTGGGCTTACGGGCGGCCGCTAGGGAATTTATAGCGATCGGAGCACGGATGCGGATTCGTTTGGCCGTGGCTCGTCGTAAACGATCGTAAATTTACAGTCGGAATAGTATTTTTCTCTCACATAAACCAACGAGCAGTATTTCTTCACAAACCACAAACGAAACGAACCAGCTAACCGAATAGGCTGCAGGAACACCGCCGCGTGGGCACGTGCCGGTCACGGATCCGGATCCGGATCCGATACGCGTCACGGGCTGGACCTGTACACGGTTCCGTGTCCGTAACTGCTCCTCTTGCTTACCGTTGGTTCGTTATTAC